GAGCATGTCCTACCGGGGCAACGAGACATTCCTCTAGGGTACCCACCTACTATCTCCAATAGAGCATTCGATAGTAGGAATGGTCAAGATCCATCATAGAATCCATAGACACGGACCTATTATGGCCAAACTTATGGCCATCCTACTCAACCACCTATTCAACTACCTACATATCCACCCTAGGTACCTCTTATTAGCCAAACTAATGGTTATTTGCCTCATGCACCTTCTATTAGCCAAAATAATGGCTATCCTCCTCAAACACCTCTCGGTAATCTTGTTAGCCAAACTAATGGCTATTTGCCTCATCCACCACTCGTTAGCCAAACTAATTGTTATTTTTCTCAAGTACCTCCCGTAACAAAAAAAAAAAAAGGATACCCATCCTAAATACCCCAGTTAAACAAGCTCACAATCACCCTACTTCAGACACAATACTATGGTCCCATTCTAAATATCCCTCTAAGACCTCCTAGTTTCCTACCACGGAATGTGCCAAACATGGTTACAATAGTAAGAAACAATCCGATGCCACAATCTAGCCTTAGGAATGCTAATGCGGATATGAGTCGGGAAGCATTAGCTAACATGATTGAGAGAATGTATGGATCTCGTGTGCAAAGGGTAAATCGACTTGTTTATAGGAAATCATATCCCGATTATGTCGATCGGGAATATCCTTTCCTAAGAGGCTCCCGAATTCATATTGTTCTCTCGGTGAAGATAACATTTTTGCTTTGGAACATGTCGCTAGGTTCACCTTCTAGTGTGGGGAATTATCAAGAGATGATTTTTTGAAGCTTTATCTTTTCCCTAGTTCTTTAACTCGTCGTTGCTTTCACTTGGTACATTAATTTGTCACCAAATTTCATTCTCACATGGTGGGATATGCAAAATGCTTTCCAACCATAGTTTTCAAGAATTGATCCCGGGGTTTTAGTGGCGGAATTAGCCAAATTGAAATAGTTTCAAGGTGAATCGGTAGAACAATTCTTGACAAGGTTCATGAGAGCTAGAGGTTGATGCCAAGTCAATTTTCCCGAAAGTGAATTCATATGTTTTGCTCGGGATGGTTTGAATTTTGAACTCGGAAAAAGTTCAAGGGTATGGTCTTCCAAGACCTATACGAGTTGATAGAAAAGGCTTCCGGGTTTGAAGCAATTTTATGAGAAGAATCACTACGAGGAAATACTATGGTTGAAACATATTATCAAGATCCTACCATAGTCGATGTTAATTTTGCAGAATATATTAAAGAAAAGACAATAGTATGTAAACAATTGGTTAGAAAGAATATACAAGCCCTTGCGAGCTTCAAATCTAAAGAAGATCACAAATATTCTTTTGATCTAGACAAGGCAGATTTAATCTTTGATTGGTTTTTAGCTAACAATAGGATTAAGATCAAAGGGAAACACAAACTGTCTACCCCTAAAGAAATGAAAAAAGGAAAATTTTGTAAATGGCATAGTACTACATCCCATTTTACCAATAATTTTATTTTATTTATGAATTTAATTTAAGACTTAATAGAGTTAAAAGAATTAACTTTTTCCGAAAAAGAAAAAGTTATGAAAGTAGATGGAAATCCATTTCTTGAAATTGTTGATGTCTCGACTTTGAATGTTTTTGGTATGTTCGAATTGCAGGAGTTGCTTGCTATAACGAAGCTACCGAGGTGGCTAATTGAGTTTTCAATCGGTTGGTTAAAAAAGGAGCACCGAGGTTTTCTCATTTTGAAGATCCGAACTCGACCACTACCGTAAGTAGCACATTACCATTCTCCACACAATAGATAAATGCCATAATTTCCTAGACTTTACGAACGAGTCATCGAGATTATGACTAGTATGACTTGACGAATGTAGAGGAAGTAAATCTAATACCGGCTTACCCGGATCCGGAATCATATGTTGATAAAGTTCAAAAACAGATCAAACAAGCAAAGGTTTGACTTTAGGAAAGGTACTTTGGCCTATAAATGAGGTCAAGATTGATTGAATTGCCAAAAAATGGTGATTCATGAGAAATATAAACCGAATTATCCTCTCACACCAAAATGGCCTAAAAAAAGCCATGTGTCGAGGAGATGTTACAAGATGAAGAGAATCATATCGACAAGGAATTCTATAACAAATATGTAAATAGATTAAGAAAAATGATTATAACTCATCGGATCATATAGGATCCTATGGTCTCCATCAAAGAGACTCTAGCTCGAGTAGAAAGAATCGGGGATAAAGCCGAATGGCTTACTACTCATGGGGTTATAGGTATCATTCTTCTAGTCGAGATCATGCCAAGGTCGAAATCACCCATATCGAAGCTCGCCATCGAAGACGATCAAACGACGATAAGCCATCCGAACGGTGGAATAGGTCCCCTAGATCCTCCAAGCCAAAACAACCCGAAGTGGGAACATGGAAGAGAATTAGAATCTCTCCCCCAAGCAACCAAAATATGAAAGTCCTTCCGGATGATCGAGATTGGATAATGGTCCTAAAAAATAGAGAAAAGACGAGTGCCCCTACTATGTCTAGGACTCGAAAAGAAGATGGTTTCGAAATATGAAAAGAGTAAAGAAGGTCCGGATCTCTCAAGATAAGGGTACTAGAAAGAAAATTAAAATCCTACAGAGGGGTCAATCGAAGCAATATTTGATCCGAGCGAAACCTTGAATTTTGAAAAAGGAAAAGAAGTGGTCGAATCCAACAGGATATAAACTTTGAAGTTATCTTGGAAAAAGACCCTCACCATGACCAGAGTCCCACTATAGTATAAATCAAGGCCATGGAATGCAACATGGTCTTAACTTTGACAACGGAGTATTTAGTGAAAGCGAGAATCGGAGAAACATCGACTCGAAGATATCCTCGATGAGACCGTTGTTGAGATCAAAATGGTTGAAATAACGTTGAATCCAATCCAACCTTTAGATTCTAGTAAGCAATTAGTCACCGTCGAAAAACTAGAATCTTCTAAAAGCAAACATATAAAGCCATTGTACATTAAAATGTTCATAAATGGCTTTCCAATAGGGAAAATATTAGTAAAAAATGGCATTGCAGTTAATATAATGCCATTGAATATGCTTAAATATTTAGGCAAATCCAAGCAAATATTTAATCAATACCGATATATCAATTTATGGTTTTGCTAGGAATTTTGCTAAAGCAAGAGGTATGCTACCTGTAGAGTCTTGTAATTTGGAATTCTAAATTTTTTAAAACTATTTGTGTAGATATCGACCAAGTGCAAGTTCAATCCAATGTCATCAAGGTAGCAATTTTTGGGGAGAATTGATTCTTTCTCCTATGGGAATGCTTGTTTCCACTAGGAAAACATCCCCATCATAGAAAAACCTATCACCTCGGATTTCGACATAGACCCCTTCATCTTTTCTCTTGTATCGCCAAAGAATGGTGAAGTCGAAGGTATATCGGAACATAAAGGAAGAAAACAAGTCATCAAAATTAATCGGGGTCGAAGAAGTGCCGATCGAAAACATTTCGATGAAAATTCACAACACCCCGAAAGAGTGGTAAAAGAAGTCGAGGTGATGAAGAAGTGCGAGTATGATGGCATGGTACCTTAAGCCACAAAGGAGACTCCTCGATCATCTTTGACGGAGACATTACATCGGTATTGACTATAGGTCCTAGGGATAAATAAAGACTCCTTTCGAGGTTTTTCTTAAACTCTATTGGGACATCAACGACTTGGTTGTTAGTAATAGTCCGCATAAAGCAAGTATCGATCATATTGACTCGAACAAAGAGCTCTCATAATCTATGATAGTCGATTAATAGAGATACTTTGGTCCGCATAGACTTCTTAGAAGATTTTAGGTTTCTTTTATGAGCCATTCTAATGGAACGGAAAGAAATTCTAAAGTAAAGAAATTGTTTGACAAAAGATAAGAAGAGTTTTTGAAAAACTTTTTATAGAAAGTAAGGGGAATCATAAAGAGTGCAAAATTATAGAGTCGGCTTTGTTTTATATCACATACATTCAAAAGTCGTGATGATTTCACTTTTAAACTTAATGATTTAGATTTGGCAAAATGAAACATTAGATTACTACATAAAGTAGCCGCCTTTAGAAAGATAGGAATTCGCATGGTCTCATCACTTCTTATGGGCATTTAATGATCTATCTATCGAAGAAGAAACTCATCATTTCATCTCTAAATGACTAAAAGGGGGGCATGTGTTGCCATACATAAATTTTAAAAGCCACGTGTCGATTTGAATTGACATTACATATTAACGTGCTCGCACCTTAACCGAATGATACATTCTCGAATCTTAATGAAACGATGCATTTGGTTTCACAAACCAACCAATATCGATGGACAAAGATTTAAGAACCTTAAATTAAACGGTGCATTTGGGTTCACAAACCAACCAACATCGATGAAATAGAGGTTTGAGAATCTTAAATGAAATGATGCATTTAGTTTCACAAGCTAAATGATATCGATGAAATATAGATTCCGTTTGATTTCACAAACCAACCGATGTCAATGAACAGAAAAGAGGATAAAACCTAATAATCATTCGTGCTCAAATTTGAGACTCTAGACAGCTTATCAATTAATAACGGTTTAAAAAAGGGAAAAAAAGACAAACAAGAGGACAACAAAAAATTCTCTAAAGATTAATTTTATCTTGTTTTTTTTATAATAGCCTTTACTTTCTTGTAAAGTAGATCGATAGTGTTTATCTTACTTTTCGGTAACTTAGGATTTTTTTCATTTCAAGTATTATGGTATCATCTAAAACTATTGATGTAAGTATTGTATTTTTTGATTTATAATATTTATATCTCAATTTGTCTCAACATTCCCCTTTTATTTTTCAATCTTATCATTCAAATCAAAATGCCACGTAAAAGTCCTAATGGCTTACTAGGCAGCATTGAATCCTTTTTTTACTCCATATTTAAGATCAAATTCCACGAGCAGCAACATAGCTCCACTCCTTCATGCCCGAAATCCACTAATTCGTGACTAAACTCCACTCATAAACCCATAACTCCTCCATCATCTTGTCTCTTACAAGATGGCCACTCTGCACCGACCCACACAACCACCTAACAGCTTGCTCTCTTTTGGCAAAACAGACCTCGCCAAACTCAATGTTACTCACCTTTACAAAACCCAACTCGCTCGACCACCATAAAACCCTTCTTACCTCCTCGACCGACCATTTTCGTAACTCGTTCAAATCGAAGACCATCAACCACGGTTCTATGTCCCCTGCCATGAGAGAAAATGACCACAATACACCTCTCGGCTAGTAACTCGCTAACATCGATCTCATCAACACCCGAATCCACAAACCCATAGCTTCTTTATAGTTGTCTAAATCATTCGAACTCCACCCTAACATTATTGATAGCAACCCCATAACCAACTCTAATTTTGTCAAAAAAAAAAAAAAACAAGAAGAAGAATAGAAGAAATGAGAAAAACTTTGATGGGTTTGATCTCCTTTTTTTATTTGTGGTGAGCTACACCACTTATGGAAGAAGGAATAGGAGGTCGAGAGCTCTCGGTGGACTACTTCATTCACCAAAATATACCGAGGTATGCCATTACACATCGAACTTGAGGGCGAGAGGCCTTTGGGATGTTGATGAGAAATAAGGTTGGTTTAATGCTCTATGATGGAGTTGGAAGGATGAGTTTGTGTTTTATTTCATGGATTATTTAGGATAAGTGCTGATCCTAGTGTGTTGCAAGTTAATTAATTGATTGAATTATGTGTGTTATGATTTTTTGAAATGTTGGATATGTGATTTAACTAAATGCGTTTTATTTTTCAAAAACAAAATGCTTTTTTTTTTTTTTACATAAATGCTTGTTTATGCTAGTTTGCTTGAAAAAAATGATGAGTTAGTTTATGCTATTTTTATTCATTATGTGTAAACATTTTTAGTTAATTTGGTCGTTCCTTGACATGTTAGGTCCGTCGGGACTTTAATTAGATTTGATGATAAATTGACAAGACTCCTAAATTTAATTTGATAGTGTGATGTATATGAAATAAAATAAATTAATTTTCAATTTTTTTTTCTCACACACCGCCAAATTAAACACTTTTAGTTTAATTAAGTTATTCTCGACAATCTAATCATGTCGGGACTTCAATTGGATCCGATGTTAAATTGAGGAGACTCTTAAATTTTGCATCCGACATTCACTTAATACAATGCAATAAAAGAAAAAAAAGTCAATTTGACCTAGATAATAAATAGATTTGGAAATAGAATTAGGAAACGACTTAGCAAAATAAATTCTTAGAGGATACATTTTAGGACTAAACCGGACATGATATCTTTCCTCAAAAATAGTTTTTTGGGTGATCATTTTCTTTCTAAAGGCATAGCCAGACTTCTAATCTAAGAATCTCTTAATTCAATACCTCTTTTAGGTTTTTTAGTTTCTTTAAATACCGGTGACAACTCTAAAATATTTGTTAACTTTTGTCTTTTAAAATAAACTAAAACTTAATAATTTTTCATAATTTTTTTGAAAGTCTCCTAAATGTCGAGTAGTAACAAGCATGGTGACTCGAATTGGAAATTTAGAGTTAGACAATAGGTTTAGTCATCTTTAAATTTATCTTCCGTATTTATATTTACCACTTGTTTCCAAGTTATTTATTTTTCAAGTTATTTATTTATAGGTTTAGTCATCTTTAAATTTATCTTCTTTATTTATATTTACAATTTGTATCCAAGTTATTTATTTGTTGTTTATTTAATTTTAAGTAATTTATTTTATACAATTTATTTAAATTTTTTTATTTATTATGAACTGGGTTGGATATATCTATTTTACATTATTATGCACACACCTCAAGAAAATTCTATAAAAGCTTCTAGACCCTATCTAAAACCATTTAGGATTTAGATAAAAAGATTTAGATGACAATTATGAAGAAAGTTTACCAATGCTCATCCGAATTCTAATTTGGATTGAAACTCATCCTACCTATGAGAAATTATGGAATAATCTTTTCATACCTCTTACTATGTAAGGTTAGAGGCTAGATTATCTCACTAGTAATTTGGATAGTTTAGGAACTTAAAAAACATTCAAGCTTAGACAAGTTTTGCCTAAACCCCGTTTAGAAAAACTAGATTGTATCCATTAGGATTAACCCATTAAGACATGAGCTATTTTATGATTTCACCTATCCTAACCTTTGTTTTGATAGGATATCACAAAAATACATCATGATAAAGAGAGTGAGATATATTACTAAGGATTTTAGGTACGATCGGAGCGAGGCTCGGTTTGAGAAGAAAGACTATTTACCGTCGATTTTGTATCAAAACTACTAGAAAAGATAGGACTTGCAAGCAATAAGGACACCATCGAAGATGAGCTCATACTTTTCTATACAAAGTTCAAAACCTCATAGCCACTACTACCCGATATCTTGATCCGAGGTTGTGGAGAGACTAGTAAGAGTTGAGTAAAGATCTATCGTGTATAAGCATTGTAATATAAGTTAGGTGGTTATAGTGTTTCTTTTACTTTTTAGAAATAATTATAACATAAATCAAATAGTTATACTATCTTTTCCTTTTAATAAAAAAAAATGGCTCTAAGTCATATTAAGAATGTGCTAGAAGGTTAAGTTTCTACTTCTTCTATATATGTTGTTATAGTATGGCATCATTCACTCAAGGTTTCAACAAAGAACATGGTAGATATGTTTTTTGAATCACCTAAAGTATCTCTAGGGTTATACTCTTAGCAAGTACTAAAAATTTGATCTGATCCATCTTCAGTACAAGCTTTGTCATGAAGCTCACAATGGCAAAAAAACGTATCCAACCTAATTCACTTTTTGTTTTTATATATATATATATATTGAGTTTTTGAGAAATTGAAACATAGGTCGCTCTCGCTAAGACTCAAATTTCCTCTCGAATACACTATACTCGACTCGGTAACGACCGACGAAAAACAAAGAGAGGACATAGTTGGAATAGCTTACCAAAAGAAACTAGAAGCTATGAAAGAGGAAATTTTCTCGTTTTCCGAATCTGCTGAAAAGGGTATTGCAATCACTACCAAGCGAAGAGGACACTTTAAACCTGTGGTTAGACTCGGAGAAAAATGCCATATCCCATTTGTCTATCAAATATGCATCCACAACCCGACAAAAAAATATAACAATTATTTTTTCCCCTTAAGAAAAGAAGTAATAAAATTAATAATGACAACTAATTAACAACTAATAAAGATATTAATTATAATTAAATTATTATATTTACTACCAATTGATATAAATAAGTATATGATAAACAATAACTAATTACAGCGAATAAACTAATTAAAATACAAAAAAAATGTAAAACTATTATTAAAAATAAGAAAAAAACAAACAATGTAAAATTACCTTATATTAACACAACTAATTAACAATAATAATTAGATTTATAGCTAATTAACATCAAATAACATAAACTACAAATAATAACTAATAAAAACTATGATAATAAATATTATTAACTAAAAATTTAAAAAATTAATAACTAAACTAAAACATACTTGGAAGGAGGAGGAGGAACTGGAAAAGAAGAGACCGTTAAAGATCCATCCTAAAAAAATAAAAAGAAAATATTAGTTATTATTGAATAAATTAAAAAAAAAACTTACTAGAGAGTAGGAGAGAGGTAAAAAAACATAATTCATCACTAAAATCCCAAAATTAGCAATGAAAAACATCATCTATCGTTGTTTGGTTTTTTGAAAATGCATTGTTTTTTTTTATTTTTTAGTGACATACTCAATTCCATTGCTAAACATAAGTTTTTGTCACTCGTTTGATTTTAAATTGGGTAATTTTTCTCTTAATTAGTAATGGAATACATCATATATGTTAAAATCTATCGTTAAATCATCTCCCCATATCTCGTCAAAAATTAGTGATTAAAAAAATCATTTGTCACTAAAAACCATTGTAATTAATTGGTATTTCATTGCTAACCGAATTGTAAAAGTTTACTACATTATTAACCAATGGTATTGTTCCTTCATTGAAATTCCTTTTGTATTCCTTCGCTATTAACCAAAAATATCAAAAATTTATAACAATTGTTAATATTTCACTAATCCATCACTATATATTGATAACCTCATGTCCGTCATTGATTTTTGTTGCTAGTTAGCTATTTTTTTTAGTGAATTTTGTGGTTGGAGACAAGAAAAAGAAAGCCAAAAATAAATAAATAAATAAATAAATAATGAAAAAAGACTTAAAAAAAAAAACTCAAGAGAATTTTTTGGATGTGTTTTAGGAATATATATATATATATATATATATATATATATATATATATATATATATATATATATGATTTTTTTCTCCCCATTGATTACATAATTGTATTATGTACTTGGAGGATGTTCTAATGGATTTTAATTTGAAAGTTAAAGTTTAGGATCCGACAAAAATGAGATAGGAATTTAGATAGGATTAAAAATATTTGATCTTAATGCTCTGAACTTTTAATTAATTTGGCACTATACTTTAAATACATTGTTATAGATCTATTAGATTTTAACTCCTTTATTAAGTTATAGATCTATTAGATTTTTATTTGATCTTATGTCACTCGATTTTTAATTTTACATGTGTTTATGCATTTATATTTGGCATAATTTTTCAGAAAATCACAAATTATACCTATTTTGATGATTTTAGCTAGTTCTTTAAAAATTATATAGAAAGGTCACCAACTAAGCATCCGATAACAAACTAGTATCGATTTAATTTTTTGATCAAAATTTCAATCAATGCCGACATGGCAAGCAATGAAGCATGACACATTGACTTTAGCAAGCCACGTAGGATCCACATAAGCATCACACATATACTTTAGCAAGCCATATAGGATCCATGTAATATATTTTCTAGTCACTACGTATGTGGATCCTATGTAGCTTGTTAAAGTCCACGTGTCATTCTTATATGGATCGTCATATCGTATTGACTAAAATCTTGGTCAAAAAATTAAATCGATGCTAGTATTGTTATTAGAAGCATAATTGGTGATCTTTATATATAATTTTTTAAAAATAAGCTAAAATCATTAACGTACATAGTTCATGATTTTTTTGGAACATTAAAATTTTATATTTTTATTACATTATTTTACTCTTTTGTACTTTAAATACAATTAGTTTGAACTCAATGGGTAATAGACAAGCCTAGACAAAAATTTTTAGCTAGTGAGCCTTGCC